CTTTGGAGGCCAAGGCGGGCGGATCACTTGAGGTCAGGAGTTCAAGACCAGCCTGACCAATATGGTGAAACCCTGTCTTTAAAAAAAAAGAGAGAGAGAGAGAGGGAGAGAGACAGAGAGACTATTTCAGTGTATTCTCAGTTTTCTAACTTAGTTCATACAGGACACTGGCCAGTCTCCCATCTATGCTTATCCTTACCCTCTTCTCTTCAATTCCTGGAAAAAGCCTCTGCCCAGAGCCTGGGAAAACTGGAGTACCAGATGAAAGAACCTAGGATACTTATATCTCAATGCTAGGTACAGATCAGTTCAGAGGAACTTACAGATTCCAAGGTAAGAAACAGGTCTCAAGCATTTGGGAACCTTAATTCTCAAGCAGAGACAAGGAAAATAAACTCATGAACCCCATTTCATGGTAAAGCCTTCTCCTGAGGTGGTGATCATAAGAAGAAGCAAAGATAAAGAAGACTCACCAGGACATTCGTCCATCAGAGAGGTAGAAAAAGAAACTGAACTCCACTACCATCTGCTTCCCCACTTAGGATATGCCAGAAATAATGGAAAACATAAATCAGAAGCAATCCTTCCAGATTTGCTTACCTAGCTGACAAGTTCAAACAGCCAACAAGCAGACACCATATCCTAAAGGTGGCTAACGTTGTGCTTCATTCATAGATTAGTTGTGCTTCTTCTCCTTCCAACCCAAAGAACTTCCTCATGCAGAAAACAAAATTAATTTTCACACCTTCCTCAATTCCTTGCACAATAAATAATTACGTTACTTGCCTAAATGCTGAGTCTGCAAGAAAGGGAAAGAGGTGACAGAAAGAGATTCCTATAAAACCCAATTATCTCCATCTATATTAAGCACAACAAGCTCTATGCTTCTTTGGGGTTTTTTAATTTTTTTTTTTTTTTTTTTTTTTAGTTATATTTGTCTATTTGAGACAGGGTCTCACTCTGTTGCTCGGGCTGGAGTGCAATGTCACAATCTCAGCTCACTGCAACCTCTGCTTCTTAGGTTCAAGTGACCTTCTCACCTCAGCCTCCTGAGTAACTGGGACCACAGGCACACGCCACCACAACCAGCTAATTTTTTGTACTTTCTGTAGAGACAAGGTCTTGCCGTGTTGCCCAGGCTGGTCTCAAACTCATGGGCTCAAGCAATCCTCGCAGCTCAGCCTCCCAAAGTACATACCGGGATTACAGGTGTGAGCTACTGCGCCCAGCCTCTATGCTTATTTGTTGCAGAGAGGAATGAATCTTAACCTTCCTCCAAAAAACAAGAAAGAACACTGAGTATCTTTGATTTGCTTACTCTGGGTTCATTTTTTAAGAATGTAGCTGCTACCTGAGCTATGTAAGTTAATTTGTGTGGAGTGTACCTTCTTAGAGACTCAATACCTTCTTTGAGAACCTGAGTGCAAATTACAATTTCCTGCAGTTTCACTGAGTATCACATCATCAGTTTGGGAGCTACAAGGCAGGCTGAGGAGAGAAAATGCACCCTAGAGTGTCTCAGGAAGAACCTGCAAGGAGCTATTTGTATTCTGTTTTGTTTTATTCAAAGATTCCCTCTGGGAACAGTGGCTCACGCCTATAATACCAGCACTTTGGGAGCCTGAGGTGGGTGGATCACTTGAGGTCAGGAAATTGAGACCAGCCTGGCCAACATGGTGAAATCCCATCTCTACTAAAGATACAAACATTAGCCAGGCATGGTAGCACGAGCTCATAATCCCAGCTAGTCGGGAGACTGAGGCAGGAGAATCGCTTGAACCTGGGAGGCTGGGAGGCAGAGGTTGCAGTGAGCCGAGATTATGCCACTGAACTCCAGCC